AAAGAATGGTAAAAATTAGAAATAAAAATAAAATAAAAAACTTAAATCAATATGGAATAATTTGGAAAATATAAATGTATAGTGAGGATAGTTTTGTCTTGAATAAATTAACTTTCTGCTTCTGTTTCTGCTTCTTGGAAGAAGGTAGAATTTCCTGCTTATTCCCAAAAGCAAAAAAATTACTTCTGTTGCTGGCCAAAAGTACTTCTCCGTCTTGGCCAAACAGCTTCAATTTTTAAAAAATACGTTTTTGGAGAAAAAAGTAATTTTGGCCCCCCAGAAGCTTGGCCAAACATGCTTTTAAAATGTTATAAACAAAGATTTATCTGTTTTATTTTCCAAGTTACCAATGTTGTATTTATTACTACAACAGTTATCTATAATAAATTGATAAATATTAATAAAAACTCTCTCTTCTCTCTCGTGCGACCAGTGCACGTTAGCTAACTATACGCCGGAATCGGCCATGGCAAGAGGACGAGGACGAGGACAAGGAAGACCTAAGAAAGTTCTGCTAGTTGCTTTTGGAAGCTCAGTGGGAGCTCGAGTGCAAACAGAAGAAGCTCGACCTAAGATAACAGAAACTACTCCAATTCAGATAATAGAGGATAAGAGAACCAATACACTGGGATCTGCAACAAATTCAAAAACAGTGGCACAATGACTGCAATTAAGTGGTGAAATAATTCCTAGCTCTGAAGGGGAAAACCCCCAAACTGCAAACCCTAGGTCAATTGAGGGACTATCAAGTGCTAATCCTAAGCCAATTATAGGGATGGCATTGACCAAGGAAGCAGAGAATACACAAATGGCAAAGGAAATGGAGATGAGTGCAGCAAAGACTACGCAACAATCACTGGGAGAAAATGCTATAGGAACAACTGGAACAGTTACAGAAGCAGAACAAGACAATAAAAAACGAGCAGAGGATCCAAAGCAGATGGGAACATGGAATAATTTGTTTAAAGGTAATAGGTCAGCTGCTAATGGCATGACCCTTTCATACATCCCTCCCTCCCCAACTGGTGGATGGTCAACCAGTAGTGCAATTGGAAGAAGAGGAAGTAGCACAAGAGGAAGAGAAGCGGAGATGTGCATTAATAGCTTATATCATTGGTGAGACTCCAGGATATAATGCAATGGGTCGTTACATTGACCAAAATTGGTCTAAAGTTCCTAATCCTGATGTTTATTATCATGAATAGGGCTATTATATGCTTAAGTTTTATTCCATCACTTATATGCATGCAATCTTCTATGCTGGACCATATACAATAAACAACAGACCAATAATCTTGAAATCTTGGACACTTGAATTTTATTTTAGTAAGGAGTTTCCAACTGACATTCCTCTATGGGTAAAATTTTCTAATCTACCAATGAGTTGTTGGAGTAGTAAATCATTGAGCAGAATTTACAGTGTCCTAGGCACACCTTTGTATGCTGATGAATGCACTACTAAACAAACAAGGATATCCTATGCTCGTATGCTAATTGAAGTAAATGTGAGTAGAACACTGCCTGAGGAAATCACTGTGATAGACCCAAATGGAAGGAAGTTTCAGCAATAAGTAACATATGATTGGAAGCCTATGTTTTGTGACAAATGCCAGATTGTTGGTCATAGCTGCCAGATAGAGGAAAACCTCCAGTGCCACAACAACAGAGGAGAAGAGATACTAAACCTTTCATTTATGAGTGGAGAACCAAGGGCCCGATAGTACCAGCTGTAGATCAAAATACAGCATCAGCACAACCTCTCCAGCAGAAGAGACAACAAGAGGATCCTAACCAGAAGAGGATAATAACTGAAAATGAACTAAGAACACAAACCTCAGTACAACCAGGAAGTTCAAGAACAAAGGGAACTCAGGTACACCAATCAGCAGAGGTAGGAGGGCATGCTATTACCCAACACACAGAGAAGAACTAATGCAACTCCAGCTTTTAACCTCCATAACTTTCCTGAGCTTAGAGCAACACCTTCAAAGCATGGATCAGAACCAAGTAGAAAGGGGCATAGTGATAACAAATTCATACTTCTGGATGGGGGTAGGGATCCAAATCTTACTTTATGAAGTGATTATTCTGGAATGTTAGAGGTGTAAGTAAGAGATATAAACAAAAGGAATTGAGAAACTATATGAAGAATAATAACATCAAACTGGCTGGACTAGTAGAGACAAGAGTCAAAGAGCACAATGCACAAAAGATCTGACAACATACAATACCAAGATGGGAGAGCATAATGAACTATCAGGATGCAAGAAATGGGAGGATTTGGGTAGGTTGGGACCCAAACTACTATACAGTGCAAATGATCAAAACTGAAGCACAACTAATACACTCCCATGTTAAAAGTAATACATGTACTATGAATTGCTTACTAACTGTTGTATATGGTTATGTTATAATAGAACAAATGACAGTCTTATGGAAGAACTTGAAAGAGGTGGCACATGGGATAAACATACCATGGTTAGTTACTGGTGACTTCAATGCAGTAATGGCTCCACAAGACATAGTGTTTGGGAATCCAGTGACCTATGCAGAGACTAAAGACTATGCTGATTGAATACAAGGCTTAATGCTCAATGAACTTCAATGGAAAGGTGATTACTATACATGGACTAATAAGCAAAGTGGCACTGATAGAATCTATAGTAGAATAGATAGAGCAGTTGGGAATCATGAGGGGATGATGCAATGGGGGCACTTAATTGTAGAATATGAGGTTCCACTCATATCAGACCACTCTCCAATGGTATTAGCAATAGCTCATCAAAAACAGAACATTAAGATACCATTCAAATTTTTAATGTATGATATAAGATGACATATTCTTACCACTGGTAGAACAAATATGGAAGAATAATATGGATGACAATAAGATGAAAGATATATGGCTAAAGCTAAAAGCTTTGAGGCCTCTTTTAAAGAAGCTGAACAATGAGGAGTTCAAATACATATCACAAAAGATTGAGAAGACTAGAGCTGAATTGATCAATACTCAGAAACAAATCAGTAACAAATGTTCTGATGAACTAGTGGAAATGGAGAGGCAGCAGCTACACAACTTGGAGAAATAGTCTATGATTGAGGAGCAAGCAATGCAACAGAAATCCAAGGCACATTGGATAAGGTTAGGGGATTCTAATACAAAATATTTCACAGCTATTGTCAAATAAAGGGCACAAAAAAAGCAGATTAATGAGTTAACTTTAATATTTGGTACTAAACTCACAGACTCTCAAAGCATCAAAGAAGAGATTGTAGATTTCTACAAAGGTCTTATGGGATCTGCAGCAAAAATACTACCAACAATCAACAAGCACACCATGAGGAAAGGCCCTACCTTGTCACACCAATAAAAACTGGACCTATGTACAAAGGTCACTGAACAAGAGGTATTCAAGGCATTGAACTCAATAGGAGATGAGAAGTTCCCAGGTGTAGATGGTTTTAACTCTTATTTCTTCAAAAGAATCCTAGCAAGTAGTGAAGGGAGATGTAGTGGTAGCAGTCAAGAAATTCTTCAATACTGGAAAAATATATAAGGCAGTCAACTGTACTGCCATTACATTAGTGCCAAAGATTGCTCAACCTGCCACACTAAAGGAATATAGGCCAATAGCATGTTGTCCTGTCCTATACAAGATTATAGCAAAGATACTTGCATCTAGAATGCAACCAATGATTACTGATATCATCTGTCAAGTACAGGCAGGCTTCATACCAGGAAGGAAGATTGCTGATAATATCATACTGGCTCATGAACTAGTGAAGTCCTACACCAAGAAATAAGTATCACCTAGATGCATGATCAAAATTGATCTCCAGAAGGCATATGATTCTATTGAATGGCCTTTTCTGGAACATGTCATTTTCTAGAACAGGTCATGTTTGAACTAGGTTTTCCATCCTAATGTATTACTTGGATAATGGAAAGTGTGCATACATTGAACTATACCATTGTGATAAATGGGGAACCAACAGAGCCTTTTAATGCTGCAAGGGGTCTTAGGCAAGGGAATCCAATATCACCTTTTCTCTTTTCTATGGATATGGAGTACCTTAGTATATGTCTGAATGAACTCAAAGAAGTAAAAGCTTTTAAATATCATCCTAGATGTGCTAAGTTGGGAATCACTCATCTCAGTTTTGCAGATTATCTTCTTATGTTCACTAGAGTAGATCTAGAATCAGTAGCAGCAATGCTTCCTTCATTTCTCTACAGCCTCTGCCTTCAAGCTAATATGGGGAAGAGTTTTGTGTATTTTGGAGGGGTTCTACATCAGTAGAAAGAAAACAATACTAGCTAAGCTGGGATTCAACCAAGGAGACCTCCCTTTCAAGTACCTTGGTGTACCATTATCTACAAAGAAACTGAATCTTATCCAGTGAAAGCCACTTGTTGACAAGATTACAACTAGAATCACTTCCTGGACTGCCAAAAAACTCTCTTATGCAGGCAGGGTTCAGTTGGTACAATCAGTTATTTTTGGGGTACAATCATATTGGGCTCAATTATTCCTAATACTTGCAAAACTCCTGTCACTTATAGAGGCTTAATGTAGGAGCTTTGTCTCGTCTGGAACTAATACAATCACAAGGAAAGAACTGGTAGCATGGGAAAGAGTATGCTCTCCAATATCTATGGGAGGATTAAACCTAATCAACATCAAATTGTGGAACAAAGCTTATGTGATAAAAATATGTTGGGACCTAGCTCACAAACAGGACAAGCTATGGATTAGATGGGTGCATACATACTATATAAAAGGAAAACGAATTCAGGAAGCAGGCATTCCTCAACAAGCCTGTTGGATCATAAGGAAGATAATGGAAGCCAAAGAGGATATGAAGCTAATTCAAAATGATACAGCAATAAAGAAAAGCATCACTAGCCTGGTATATAAACAGCTACTACCCAACAATGCTAGAGTGCCTTGGAATATTTCATGTATAGGAATGATGCTCGACCTAAAGCCAAGATAATTATGTGGCTGGGATTACAAGGTAAATTGATTATCACTGACAGACTCATAAGATGGGGGATGAATGTAGAAGGAAAATGCAGTCTTTGTCAAGCACAAGAGGAAACTAGAGATCATCTGCTAGCAGAATGTGAATATTCCAAGAGACACTGGGAAAAGACTATGCAGTGGATTCAACATCAAAGATGCAAGCATACACAGTGGAAGCACCATCTGGAATGGACTATCGAAAGTGCAAAAGGAAGATCACCGCAAGCTCAAATATTCAGGATGGCATATGCAGAATGCCTCTATGCCATATGGATGGAGAGAAACTATAGAATTTTCGAGAAGAAGAGTAGAAATTGGGAAGCAATTGCAAGAGAGACAGCAGTGATGTGCCATGTTAGAGCAGCACCACGAGTCCAAACCATCATACATAGTCTCCAGTTTTAGTAGATAGTTCGTAGTTATGATGTATAGATTTCGTTCTTGGGTGTTTATATAGATAGTTAACTGAGTTAGTCGAGCTATGATTTTGTAATGATTTACACCGGTGATTAATAAAAAAGTTAGTTACCAAAAAAAAAAAATACCTATAATATCTTTTCTTTTACAACGTCAAGTGCATAGGAGTGAAAACTGAAGCCAACACTATTCTTTTTTTTTCCACTGTTTTTTTTTTTAAGTCGATTGATAATAGTAAAAATATAAGCTTACCAACGGAAAATTCGAAGACGACGACAACACTAAAAACTGCCCACACTGCAGAAGCACCAAAACCTTCATAGTTAAATTTAGGCTCAAAAATCAAAATAGTAGAACAATGAGATTAGAGTTATGGCAAACCCTACTTTGAGAGAGTGAACAATTATTGGAGCATCTTTTTTCCCTAATTTGCATTGCATACCGTATCGACAACCTTACATTACATATTAGCTTCTTTCCCAAGCTGTTGAACCAAAGCCATGCACTAAGGAAACAACCAGGGGCGTATTTAAGAACGGGTTCACGTGCATATATATATNTCCTTGTCCATCTTGCAATTAGATTAAGAACGTTTTTCTTTGTTTTTCTTTCTTTATTTGGTTTATTTCTTAAAATTCCCAAGTCTACTGAAATCCATGTTTTCCTTTGTAATAACAAAATTCATATAATTAAACGAAATGCCCTATATTAAAACTAGTACCAATGGAGGATACAGTTGAAAAAATGACGAAAATCTCTAAAAAAAATAAATTAAACCTATAATTTCAATAGTGTAATTGCTTCAATAAGCTAAAAGTTGAACATTAAATTTAAATCCTAGATTCATCTATTTATAATGGTGCACACATCCTCTTAAAATCCCGGATCCGCCTCTGGAAGCCGCCACAGAAGCAGCCACAGTAGTCTTCTTGATTTTCAACAGTCATTTTAGGTTGACTTGTTTCTACTTACTATACCTTTGATGAATTAAGATTGGTTGGGACTTATTTATAATCCGAAAGTTTCCTCATATTCTTCTATTTAAACAAAAAGGAAGGAGTCTTGGAGAACATAAAAAGATATTATTATGAAGACAAATACTTCCAATTTTCTTTCCTCCACAAGCTTCTAAGAGCACGTTTATGTAGTTTTCATTGGGAAACACACACATGGAACATGGATGCAAGTTTCATTGAGTCTGACTCTAAAATTATACGACAGTATTTAAAACATATTTTCCATGTCTAGAACATGGATGATGAATGCAAGATCTATTTTCTTTATTTATCTCATATTTGAGTATACATTATTTTAACTACCTTCTTAAAAGTATTTTTATTTTAAATTATTAGCAATTGATAAGTTTAAATTCTTTTTTGATTTTTTTAATTATATTAAAGTACTTACTTTTACTCACATATGATAAAAAGCTCAATACTAGATAAGAAAAACTGTTGTAACATAGGCTAAAGGTACTACTGGGACAAATCTTTATCTAATTTAAAACCAAATACATGTTGTAAATTACACGCCGACGCCGTACAATTAAATTTTACTACGATGGACCAAACATGTGATTATTATACACCAAATTGCAATTCATGTCTTCTAATACTTGTCTGCGAACCAAACGATCCTTCCAATTACTTGAATATGGAGATACTATTTTTTTTTTTCTAAAAAAAAAATGCTTGGGAATTGGGATTTTAGGCAAAATGCTTGACTGAATGCACATTTTCTTAATGGTGTTTCTCTTGTCAGAACAACCATAATAAAAGGGATGTTGGTACAACTGTAAGTACTTCATAGAAAACAAAATACTCTCAGTAGTTTAAATACTACAACAACTGAAATACTAGCAGCAATAATTAAAGACCTAGAATGAGTATCTGGAAAAAGGGAGGGGAACATCTATGCTCTGGGACAACCACCCTTTTAAGGTTCATCAGTTGAAGATAACATTCTTGGCAAACCAAAAACCCCACTAGTAAATTCCGGGTATGACCCGGTAAGGTACCTTTTCACAATACAATTTCCAGTATTTGCCATACCTGCAAAGAAGCAAGGCTCTGTCAAACTTTCACCCCTCACTAGATTTCATACGCAAATTGACAAGAATAATGAGCATACTAATAATGTGGGAATACACTGGGTATGTTGTTGTAATAAGCACACTAATAATAGCTGTCTAAACATTTCAACGGGTACAGATCATAAGAAACCTCCAGTTATTTCTTAACATTAGGGGCAAAATGCTTGCACTAAAAATTTTCATCACTTTTAGTACGATCTAACTTCACACCTTGAGGGCGTGCTGCTTATACATCTTATCGACACACCAACCCGATCTTAAAACTTTCTTTATGAGGGGCTTGACAACAAAACCTCCTCAGATAAATGTGTCCCTGATACCCCTTCCATTCTATGTTGCTCGGATCCTCCAATAAGTACATAATTTTTGGAGGATCCAACATGAGTGCAGCATTTTTGGAGGACCCTTGCAACATAGCTTCCGAGAACAACTCTCTGGATCTCCAGATTGTAGGACATTATTTCTTAAGCAGGAATTGGACTGCCGTCATTTCCGTGAACCCAAAAAAAGGGTATCGTCATTTCCTTTACTAAAAAATGAAAATGGAGTTTCATGGAAAATTTAAAAAGCCCTTTGCTATCTCTGGCTAATGGAGCTGTCTCTTTCGTTGCTTATCCTAATTCGAAGCATTCTGCACAGTTTCTATACCTAAAGAGGTCAAGAAAAGCAAGTGGCAAGTATGCAAAAGAGAGAGTGCTTAAATTCTCAAGTTTAAAAATAATCAAATATGTACTTTTTTTGCGCACCAGGTTCTTTATGTATTGAATCGCATAAATTCAAGCTTTTGTAAAGAGCGAGAATACTAAAGAACCCAAGCCAAGGTTGAGTTGCTTACTTTGACTTGCATCGGTCATCATCCCTTTTGGCTCGATCGAAAAGGAGGATCGTCAGATAGATTACATAGAAGTAGGGAATGAACTGCAAGGTGGAGGAAAAGTTATGAAGGAGAAATGGTTGGTTAGATTCCCGACACCTTAAGTGGGCAGTGCGAAATTGGAAGCGAGGATGCAAAATATTTTTAAATTTTCTTCTTGATAGGTACAGAGATGAATTCTGTCTATTTGTGCAAGTGAACACTTACATGGTTGAAAAGAGCTGGTACACTCCAGAAAAATGAAGCTAGTATTTCTGGAACGTAATGGAAGTGCCGAGCTAAGCCCCACCTGCAAAATGTTTGGCGTGAATATTCAGCATTGCATCTCAAGAGCCTTAAGAGAAATCCAGTACTCTCGGTGTTTTCAGAAATAGTTAAAGAACACATAAGAACAAAATGGTAAAATTGTTCTTTTAACCACATGCTATTTGTAGCTCATTTAACACTCCTTGAAAGTGCAATTGGATACAGCTTTATAACAAAAAAATTGGTGGTTCAATTGACTACAGCTTGTGAAAAAAAAAAAGAAAATTGGTGGCAGAAAGGAGAATAATTATTTGGTCCTACAAAGTTAACAAGTAAAAAGAAAGGAACTGACCATCCAGATGTCAGGAGAAGGCTGGTTTTAGTCTCACCAGTGGTAGTAGTGTATGAGGCAACAATCTACAGTAAAACAGAAACCAAATCAGAAATATTGCAAAGGGGTAAGAGAATTCTAAAATATTTTGACTGGACGTGGAGTTTAAAATGTCATGTTGACATATATATTATATTAGTGGTAGTGGCAGTAAATATTAGTAAAAATGATAGAAAAAGTGGTTTGATAAAGAAAATATAACATTAAAGTTTAAAATTTGAATAGTTATATCAATTTGAGTTCTTGAAAATTGAAAGATTTATAGGATGATACCATCAATAGATGGTGTCAAACACTTGGGATGTCACAAAAATAAAAAGTGTCATATAAGTTGGGACGCAGGGAGTAAATTGCAGATGCTGTCCTCCAACCTTTGATGGAGCCTTTCCCCAGACAAGGCATTTGCCATTTGTTCTACGAAACTCTTGCCTCTGTCTGTCACAATCATAGTTTATGTATACGCAGAGAACACCAGCTACGAGAATATAAATTGCAAGCTGCGAAAAAAAAAAGACTCAGGGACAAGCACAGAGCTAACAAAGTAGGGATGGTGAAAGAAGCAAGTATACTTGTACTTTTTGTTTATATTTTTTGTTAACCATACTGCTTGAAGAATAAACTATACTTATATTTTAGCTTATTCAGATATCTATAATGCTATTAGAATATAATGCATACTCTCTTGACAATTCACATTATACTATGCGTATTTTCTTTCTGTAGGTTGGTATAATGCAAGCAATGTTCCACTGCAAATATCCCTCCACCACAAGGTGGAACCCTCAGTGACAGAAAAAGGAATATCCTATCTTTCTATGCCTCATTAGACATATCTTGAATGGGCTTCGTTTTTTTTAGCAGACAGTGAATAAATCAATATTACACATACAAGACTGAAAAGCTAAATAAATAATTCCAAGTGAAATGAATTTACCTTATCAAAAAAAAAAAAAAAAATCCAAGTGAAATGACAAACTGCAAGCATCAACATATGGTGTAATAACCCCACACTAGGCAAGAGTTGAACCTCTGAGGCTGTGACCTTTTGCCAAAGGTTACAGGTCTCTGTTTTCCAATTAGAGTTGCACCAATAGTGGGTTGCTCATCATATCTTATAGCAGCTCTATTCTGAATCAGAATTTTGAGAAGCCATTCCAGTAACTTTTGTCAAGATAAAATGAGAAATATTTTAGTATAGCAAGCAACATTTTTCACTTCCCCCATCTTGAAATTGTTTAAAGCCACCGACTTCATCTCTAGCAAAATTTGAAGTCATCTATTTTGCTTGGTTTATTATGTTAATTGCAAGTACGTATGAAACATACCTCATGCTCTTTTTAGGTTGAACAAGTTGCTGCTCTCCTATGTGTTTCAAGTCTATTATT